GCTAGAAGTTTTAAAAAACCTTCGAATTTACTAATAGGATCTTCAATGTTGTTTATTGGCTATTTCCTTTTTAGGAGTTTGTATTACTGGCACAAATAAGTAAAGCCGTTGGGTTAGACGCATGATTATGCATAACCGTTATATCCTTAAAATTATTTAAGGTATAGCTTTAAATTATTAAGGTACAATCGAGTAATTGTTCTGTACATTTGACAAATTAAATATAGGAAAATAGGGGGTTGAACTTAAATTTTATATCTCTATCTAAGGTCCAATTCCGCCGATTCGCCCGTATGTATTGTAAAATAATTTTTTTATATGTTTCACACCGGGTGAAGGATCATTCGTAACATCGACGGTTCCTCCTGTTTGAAAATCCTATATGGTAAACGATATCTGACACACTAATATGCAATGCCTGTCCACCGTGCATATTCCAATTTTTTTTAATATATTTATAGATAGCAGGGTTCGCATAAGGAGAGCTTCTCCCTGTACTGCGTATATAAAGTAAAATTTCCGATTATATAATATAATTGGAAATTTTACTTTATATTCGTAACGCAGGAAGAATCTCTCCTTATGCTCGATGCACTAGGGCAGCTGTTAAAAATCGAAAAAAATCTCTGCTTATATAGATAGGGTCTTTGCAGTAGAAAACGCCTAAATGCTCTATATATTATATATAGTATTTAGGCTTTTCTACTGCAAAGCCCCAGATAACCCTGGCTTTAACGTTCATCCAAATTTGGACTATTTCACGTAACACAAAATGTGATTGCACTTTGCAAACTTGTGTGACATTATGACTTAATTTTTTCTGCGATTGTCTGTCTATCCAGAGATTCCCTTTTCTCGTTGAATATTGTAATAATTTATTGAGAAAAAGTTGTTTAATAATAACTATGGTAAATTCCCAAACCTGGTTAGACCAAAATTATCCCACAAATGGCACTTGTATAAGAGTTGAAGATAAAGAGAACTACGGCAAAACCAGAGCCCAAATCGTTAATTTAGATATTAGTAATCAAAATTTAGAAATCTTTCTAGACCTGGGCAGTTCTTTTCCCATCCTAAAAGCTTTGAACTGTTCATTTAATAATTTAACTACCTTCTCTTGGAACGTACTTCCTAATCTAGAAGTATTAGATGTATCCTACAATCGGCTTAATGCTACTTTTGCAATACCAAGCACTCCTAGTATCCAAAAACTAAATATTTCTCACAATAGCATTATTGCTGTTAATTTAAATACACCCAATTTAGCTTATTTAGATGTTAATAGTAATTTACTTAGTATTTTAGATCTTCATAGCACATTAAATTTAGTGGAATTAAAATGTTCCAATAATCCCATTAATAACTTGACTTTAGTACAATCATCTAAACTTGTTCTTTTTGATTGTTTGGGCGTTAGACTTGTTTCAACTCCCACTTCTTCCCCCGTTTCTCCTTCAACTTCTCTTTTTCCAACCTGTACCAACAACTCCCTCGGAAGCACTATTGGCCTGGGCGTCTACTCGGGGATATGCACGCTTAGTTTGCTAATCATAGGTTTCATTTTCTTTTATAAACGTTCCTCAGTAAAAAATGTTATCCCAACTCCAGGTAGTTTTACCTAATTGATAATTTATAAGCTAAATTAGATTCGTCTTGTGTAATTCAAGTTAATATATCTGCTATTATAATAATATGGGCTAGGTGCTGAGAAAAGAGACGAAATTGGCAAAAAATGCAAAATTTAAAAAGCTATAATGCCAAACTTTATTAATATAACTACTTTTGTATTTTAGGTGAAAAATTATCCTAATCTTATTATAAATTGATTTATGTAAAAAAATTCTTTTGGAAAAATGGTTAATGTCGTCCCTTTTTTCAGCACCTAGCCAATATCTTATTTACTATCACTGGTAAAAATAATATATATTTTTAAAAAAATATTTTAAAAAAATATAATAAATCTATTAAAATATTATTATTATGTTTATTATCCATA